CCCAGGCCCAGAGTTCAGGCCCCACGACCGGACCCCCCCCCAAAAAAAAACCCCAAAAAACTTGAGCTTCCCATGTACTGGGATTACAGGCATGCATCACTGTGCTCAGACCCTACAGGTTAAGTGTTGGTGTTCAATTACATTACAGTTTATCCAGAATCTCGACACTTGAGTCTTCAGGGGGAAATTAGAAATTGAGTGTTGCATCATGAGAATATACCTTTGCTTCTTGGAAAATGGGCATATTTTTAGCACGTGACTAATTCAGCATCTGTCCATCCGAACCAGCAGAATGATACAGAAGGAATTACTGACTAGGAGTCAGGAGCCCCCAGGTTCCTCTATGCTGAGTAACACTTGGCTTGCTTTTTTGGGGGGGTGGGGGAATTGGGAGGGGTCAGTTGTGAGGTTTGAACTCAGGGTCTGGGAGCTGTCCCTGAGCTGCTTTTGCTCAAGGCTAGCGCTCTACCACTTGAGCCACAGCGCCACTTCTGGCCTTTTCTGTGTCTGTGGTACTGAGGAATCGAACCCAGGGCCTCATACATGCTAGGCGAGCGCTCTACCACTGAGCCACCTTCCCAGCCCACTCCTTGTACTTTATCTTCCTTCTTTCAAGGGAGGCCAGATGCGTGGAACTTTTGTTTCCATGGGTTATAATTTTTTAGCACGATCCCCTCTTCCTCGGCCTAATTTGTGCTGAAACTTTAATCTTCAGAGAGGAAAGCAGGTCTCCAGCTTCAGTTCGGAGCTCTGGGATCTTGGAGCAGGTTCCTCCCTGGTGGCTAAGGCAGGGGCCCTCTGGCTGGTAGATCTTCCTATGCCGGGTAGGGACGGGGCTGGGAATGTTCCAGAAGGTAGAGAGGGTGGAGGAAAGCAAACTTCTTCCTCCTAAAGGGAAAGCCGGCCTGCCACCAGGGGTGAGCAAGGATTGTCTTCAGGCCAGCAGGGAGTGGCAAAAATGTCATGGACTCCTGGCCAGGATTAAGCAGCCTTCTGGGCCCGCCTAGGGGAGGAGCTAGCCCCCATCTGGAGGCTGTGGAAAGTACCAGAAAAAAAAGAGAAAAGAGCTGCATGCTGCCAGGTCATTGAGCAAGAGCTATTGGGAAGATGGCGCAGGGCTTGGGGCAGATGAGGAAGTTGGAGTGTGCAGTAACAGCGCAGAGCAGGGTTTTTTCTGGGGGGGGTGTCTTGGTTTTGTAGTCTTGGGGTTCAAGCCAAGGACCGCCCGCACAATGGAACCCACCTTTTACTACAGAGCTTCGCCCTCATCCCCGACGGGACGGGGTTTGAGTCACGCTGCCTGGGCCTCGGGGGGTTGAAATTCTGAACTTGGGCCTAAAAACTAGCCAACGTGTACCCCAAAACCGGAGGGGCGCTAGGCAGCCACACACGGCTGCTGATCAAAGCGTAGGCCCGGCAGGGTAGCGGTTGAACTTTTTGTTTTTCTCTTGTTGTTTTGTCTTCTCAGTACATCCGCAGTTGTTGAAGCAATTTCTTCCTTCCTTCCTTCCTTCTTCCTTCCTTTCTTCCTTCCTCCCTTCCTTCTTTCCTTCCTTCCTTCCTTCCTTCCTTCC